GGGAGGGAGGGAGGAAGGAAGGATACTTTCCAAGATGTTATATGGTTTTATATAGACATACACATTGTGTTTCCCTGCTAATACCTGAACTATCCTGGAACTTGTCAAATTCTTCAATATTTGATGAACTCTGGTCCTCATCGGAATATGAGCGGTTAGCATCACCCTGCATTGGGAAAATAAATGCAAAGACCTGGGAATTGTGAGCATCATGAGAGCAACAGAGTGATTTCCCTTTGATTTCAGAGTATTGCAAAGGCGAAAAAATACTTTATGGAAATAATTGGATAATATATCACTGCATGAAAGAAACAATAGCATTTAGATTATTAGGTGGGAAGGAATGTCTGAATGACTTGATTTTCTCTTTTTATAATGCTTACTTAAACAGCATCTGTATTTTTTAAAATTCATTTGAAAATGTGTATATATTATAATCTGGATTCAACTAATATAAACATTTGGAATGTACTATAATCCCACATACTCCTTCAGGTTGGGCCTGCTACAAGTCTCTTCTCTCTGCCAATGTCATCAGGCTGGACACACAAAGTGTGCCTTTTCCCTGGTAGCATCTACCTTCATGAATGTCCCCTTCACCTCCAGATGCAATTTGTTATGATCCTCCTAGTTGGCTTCTGCCAACCTAGCAGTTCAAAAGCATATAAAAATGCAAGTAGAAAAATAGAAACCACCTTTGGTGGGAAGATATCAATGTTCTGTGCGCCTTTGGTGTTTAGTCATACCGGCCACATGACCAGAGGCATCTTTAGTCAGCGCTGGCTCTTTGGCTTTGAAACAGAGATGAGCACCGCCCCCTAGAGTCAGGAACAACTAGCATATTTGTGCGAGGGGAACCTTTATCTTTACTGTTAGGAACCTTCCCTCCCCCGTATATGATAGTATTCATAGGTTTTGACAGTCAGACCTTATGGTTCTTTTTGCTTTGTTTTGTTGTTGACTAGTCACTCTGAGGAATGAGCAGCCATATAAATTGATTAAATAAATAGTAATATTTTTGTATGCATTTCTGATTTGAGCACATTTTGCAAGAAAATAAATTGAGTTCATTACTTTCTATTCCAAATTCATGCCTTTTCTATCCTTAGATGCAATATACTCATGAATTGGTAGTCATAATTTTCCACAATCACTCCCAACAAAACATAATTTAAAACAATCTCCCTCCACTCTGTATTTATCAAATGTGTCAAATTCAACTCCCAATAGCTCCACCTCATGGAAACTGTATGTATTGGTGGGAGTGATAACAGCTGTTGTTCAAAGCAAAGCCTGGTTGACAAAGATTGACTTATAAATCATTGGGAATCTGAATCCCGAATCTCTTCCTTATTTGCAACTGACCTTCCTGAAAGCAATTGCTGTAGCAACTCACCTCTGCCTGGAATCCCTCCACTAGGATCGCCACCAGTAGGTTGAAGAGAACATAGTTTCCAAAGGTCATGAGAGCCACAAAATAAAGTGATGCCCATGGGGAGGTTGAGGCCATGCCATTATAAAGTACAACATTCCAATCCTCCTGTGTCAAGATCTGAGTGGTAAAGTTTAAGGTTTTATAGTTAAGTCCAGAACAAATGGCAGAAATATGGGTTATGTATTTCCAGTAAACAAATAATATAAATATAAATATAAGGTATGCAGGTCTTGGCGTATTCGGGTCTTTTCCCGTGTAAGATTGAGAGTATCTTGCCGACGTTTCCACGAGGTCCCACTTGCCATGTTCAGGCTGGTGCCTTCAGCTTCGTGCTTGTGCGAGCAAAGGGTGATCGGAGCTGCCGTCTTTCTATAAAT